CTCTGCCTACACACACACACACACACACACACACCTGACTTCTTTTTTAAAAGCAAACAGACTTGAAATGGCCTTTCAGAAACAAGGCAGAGGAAGGAGGGTTTGTGTGAAGGACAGAGCATGAGCAAACTTCTTTTATAGGTTCTTGCTAAACCAGTAGCTGAGACAATAAATGCCTTTCAAATGAGGTTCACAGGACACAGGAGGTGGGGTGTGACACCAAGAGCTTTCGCTCTGCTTACACCGCAGTGACACCCTTAATATACAAGAAAGTCTCATTCCAGAGCAGGCATGGTTCCCCTCTCTGTCCAAGTCCAAATGTCTGCTTCTCTGACATCACTAAAGAGGCTGACCCAGAACCAGACATACAACATGGGCAGTGGGGGAGCTGGAGGGAGGCAGACTGGCACATGACATTTTTATGGGGGGGGGTAAGAACGGGGGTCTTGTGCTGATTTACACTTTCTTTTGACACACCTAGCCCATGAAAAAACCAATCAGTCTTTCACCTCAAAGAATTATAAAAGAGGAAGCCCAATGCCACCCACAGAGGCCTGAGTCTTCTATATCAATGGCCTTAGTCAGGGATGTGGAGGAAATACGTGACTAGCTCAGAAGAGGGAAACCGAGGCAGACACTGTGTTAAGAGTCAAAGGCTGTCCTGTCAGCAGGATCAGCTGGACCCCCCATGGCTTCACACAAGGCAGAAGAGTCAGCCATCTTCCACAGGTGAATCCCTCAGATCACAGTCCCACACACAGGGACTTCTGGTCCCATATACCAGCTCACAGGGTAGGAGACAAGTGTCCAAGGTGACAGTAATATTCATGGTGACATGGTCTTTTCAGTCTAAGAAATGATTGAGGACATGGGACAGCCCTCTTCTGTGGGCAGTGAGTACCAGAGGGTGGAGGGGGACGACACCACATTCCCATACACTATGATGTGACCTCACTGAGGTGTGAAAAACACTTGGGTGGGACTTCAGAGTGACAGAGGACCATGTACTCGCTTAGCCTAGAAGACCACAGTGACAAGACTAAGTATAGATGGGAGGAGGTGGGTGGTCCGTGTCTGTACAGAAGGATCCTGGGTTGTATAAGGAAACCACGGCTCATACATTGTGTGGGTCGTTATAAACCATCCCAGAATCTGCCTCTCCAGGATTTTCAACAGACACCCCCTGCCAAGTGCCTCCAGCAGGGAAACACAGAGCAGAGCCTCCATTCATTGGGAGCAATGGCAAGCGGGCCCCACTTCTAGCATGGACAGCCAGGAGAAAGTAAAAGTCCTCCCCACATTTAAGAGTCACAAAACACGTGGGGGAACATACATAACAGGAGTCCACCTGTGACTTTTGGAGCCCAGCTTTGGAACACTGGAAGTTCATCCCAATTCAAACTTTGCCTTTAGGGGGTGCATTTGACATTGTTACTCAGGCTGCTTCTAATAAGAGGGCAGACCATGCTTCTATTTGGGGAGGGGGGCTAGCTGAATGCTGGCTAACCTGGAGTTATAGCAGTTAAATCCGCACACACACATACACACACACACACACACACAGCATCCCCCCTAATACACAGACTCCTTTGCCACATAGAGCTGAACACTCGGGAAATGAAGTAATATCTTTATTAGTTTTAAATGACGAATAAGCAAAACTGAAGCCAGTCATGGTACCATGCTTTTCAGAAATCTGACTTATAAGAAGCCACAGACTTATAGGATGTGGTCTAATAAACCTAAGAGAAGTTTCATTTCCTCTCTCCAACTGGTCAACTCCCTGTCTCTACACTGGCTTCGCAGATGGAGCCAAACTGTCTTTCCCCTTCCATTGCAGGTCACGAGGCTGAAGAATAAGGGACACCCCTCATTTGGCCCTTTCTAAAAACGCAACCTAAAAATGAAGTCAAAACAGGTTCAATGCTAGTCGAGGGGTAAGTCAGCCAAAAAGAATAAAAACTGTACAGGCCGAGTGAGAGGCTGCTCACTAGTCCCCGGCACCGACTGGGAAAGCTTCTGTGAACCCCTAAGAGGAAGGAAATGGGGAATGAGAGAAGACTTCTGACAAAGAGCTATTTGCAAAGGTTGTTTGCCCATTTTCAGAGGCAGCAGCGACAGTGACTAAGCAGTTACAGGAAAGCCCTCTTATCTGAGGGCAGTTGTGCCGGGTCACACCCTATCCCTGTGGCTCCTCGCAGCCCCAGCGCAGTGTGCTGTGTGGCCAGCTCTAACATGGGCACGAATAGCTAACTAGAAAGAAGTGACTCACGTCTGCCCAGGGGGGTATTGACTTTCTTAGTCATATTTACTCAACCGGTCTATCTACTGAATTCCCTGGAGGACCTAAGCAGAACAACAAGGCAGAGGGGAGGAGGACAATGGTTATTAATCGGAGACGATGGGAAAGATCTCCTGGCTTGGACATTTACTCCACTTCCTGAGAGCGCAGGGTGGCAACAGGATCAAATGCACCCTCCTTCCGGAAAATGGAGGAAATACTGGACCGTGAACAACAGCACGTCCCATCATTAGCAGTGTTTTACGGCCCCGGCTCTCTAGCTTGGGATCTTAAGCGGCTCCATGGCTTTGGCTCAGGTTACCCCTATTTGCAGAAGGGGTGTGTGCAGCACTGCCTCTTAAGGCTGCTGTCCGGGTCCAAAGAGTTAATACAGTAGTACAGTTCTTTACAGTAGTGCCCGGACCGCAGGAAGTCTGTGAGACATGTCAAAGGATCTCCCTCGGTACCCAGCGGAGCAAGCCTGGCCAGTATTCTATTACCGGGCTTTTTACACATCCAAACATTGCATCAAGGAGGAGTGAGAGCCTTGCCAACAGAGGTGACAGACTCGGGACTTACTGCTTGCTGACTGCCAATCACCTAGTTCCCTAGAGCCATTTCTAGAATGCTCACACTACAGGTCAGGATTTTCACACTCCACCAAAATTCCTGAAGTAGCAGGTACTAGCAACGTTAAGCATGATTTTCCATGCAGGACGAAAAGCAAGGGAGGAAAGTGTGCAGGGCACATAGCCCAGCAGACCATCAGTGACCAGTCCATCAAAATGATGCTCAGGCAGGCATGTGGGATCTGCTGTTTGTGCCTGCAATCTCACACATGCTGGCTTTTTACACTGCCTATCTACAAGGTAGAGAAACTGAGGCAGAGAGCAGTTTGGTAACTTGCTCGTTCTCGGCACCTTCGTGCCTGGCCTATTCACAATCTGTGGGTTTATCCTTCACCTGGAAACATGGGTTTCTATTTTTTCTGTACTAAGGACAAACAGAAGCAATGTTCAAGGTCACCGGCGCCAGGGTTCTAATCGGCTCCTGCAAATCTTGAGCTACAAGGAAGAGAGCCAGTCTTTCTGTTTCTATTTCCTTGTATCAAAACAGGCACCTGGTTCTCCTTTATCTCTGTCCCGACTCTGACCAAAGGTTAATGAGCTACCTTTTGCTGGGCCCAGTGGGCTAGCCTTATCTGCCAGGCCTGGTGGGATAGCCTTATCCTTGAGAGTCAGAATGGGCTGCTTTCCTTGGGAGAAGCTGACCAGGCAGGATCTGCTAAGATCACAACCACTGCAGAGTGGGGGCCTCAGTGCCCTGCCACGCAGAACCGGCTGAACACACACACTCACACACACGCACCAGGTAGTCAGAGGGTAAGTACAGCCCATAGTGGGCATGTCAAAGGCAAGCGAGCAGGAGAGGGTCAAAGCCTCAGAATACCTGTCTGTACCGGCGCCTCCTGGATGAAGAGTAATGGTTAGAGCACGGGAATTCCATGGACACAGAGGTAGGGTCTTACTAGCAGGTGCTCTGGCAAAGGAAAACATCCCCTGCCGTGACATCAGGTGAGGGAGAGTGCAAAACCGTGTCAGTGAGACCCCAACATCAGTGAACATGAACGGCCCAAGAAACTTGTCAAAAACAAGACAATGGACAGGTCGTGCGAGGGTCTGGGTGATGTGCCTTCTCCATGTTTTTCTACGTCTCTCTGGTTCTCCTAAATGGCTGTCTACTGTTTCTTAAGAAGAACAAGGGTTTTTAACATGATTTCTTCCACTGTTTCCCTCTCTAGAGGAAAGGCATATATGTGTGTGCTCCCTATCTCTCCAGGTGCCCATTCTGCCCACTAGAGAAACTTGCTTTCTCACCCTGCACCATCTAGCATACAGCATACGCTCAGCACCTAGTAGGGACACAACGTTGGTTTTTAAGTCTCCACTAATTGGCTCGTGAATATTCATGAAAACCAAAACATCATCTTCTATCTAAATCTAAGAGTTACTTTAATTTTTTTTTGAAAGTCTGCATTGATGTTTGCTTTCCTGAAGATAAAAGAATGTTCTGGAAGTTCTTTATTCTTGGGACAACTAATTTGAAGAGAGCTGTCACTCCAGAGCCCAGAGTCGTGTGGGGTACTGACATCGCATTGAATTATTTAAAGGAAATTAACAATGCTTCCTGTCCTTGGAGAACAGCATCTGTGAGCAGGCATTGGGCTGTGCCTGCCTCTGACAGCCAGGGACCTTGCAGGGTGGAGGGCAGTTCTCAGCACCCTGAATTTGAAAAGAAAATCTATACTATAGACGGCTAATTGCTAGTAGCAATGGCAAAGTTAAGGTGACAGCTTCCCTTCCAGCGGGAGTCATAAGGAACCCCAGGAAATGACTTCCCAGATTCAAGTCTGATGGAATAATGCACATTCTTGCGTGTGATGCTGGGTCACGTGGCCTTTACGAGGCAGCTGGGCATCACGCATCCTCCCTAGCACTGCCTCCACCCTCTTCTTGTAAAGTGATGATTTAACGGCTATGACTTCCCTATCAGTGGTCAGCAGCCAGACATTATGGCACCTGAAATGAAAGGGACCCAAGGAGGATTCAGGGATGGAGGTGGATGCATGGGTCCTGCCCTCGCGGGAGGTAAACTTTGGATGGGTGGCTTCGTTTCAGGGCTGGCTCATCTCATACCGTCATTCTGCTCCGAGACCTACCTCCAGACACCAGGGCTCCCCAACCTTTTGTAAGGAGTGGCTGCTTTTCATGTCCCTGAAGACTTGCGTGCTGACAGTGAAGTCTGAGGGGGGGTAGAAGTGCTCACAGGCATGTCCCTGAGTGCAGCAAGGGAGGGGGCTCTGCTGCCAGGAAGAAAGGGGAACAGAGTGAGGCGTGGCCGGGAGAGAGCCCCAGCCTGGCTCGCCACCTAACCCACGTTTTCCTAGGTGCCCCACAACCACGGGAGCCCAGAACTCTCCATGCCCCCTTGCCATGCAGCTGGGGTCCCTGAGAGACCTCTCGAACACAGCTTCCTCACGCGGCCTTCCTGCCATGACCTTTTCCCACCGTGCCCAGCCCTAACCGCATCCATCTCCTGATGTACACGGACGGTTGCTCTTTCCTCTAAGCAACCAGCCACCTGGCTGAGCCTTCTCTCTTAACTTACCTTGCTGCAGGTTCTATTTGGATAAATTTTGTGGGTTTGCTGGTGTTTGCACCTTGTAGTCATACATACTGTCTATGTGTGTATACCTTGCTGTCATACACCCTCATGTATGACTGTACTCCCTGAGCTGTTGGGGCTCCTGTCTTAATACCCCTTTGTTCCCTTAGACTACAGCCTCCTAAGAGAAGCCACAATAACACCACCTGGGACCCCTCTATAGATCAGGACCCCCATGTGTTCAGGATGGTGTGCTGAAGCCAAGTCTACTCAGTAGGCATCTGGTCCCAAAAGCTGCCTTCCCCATCCAGGCCCCTAGACAAGGTTGTGCTGACTGCTCCATTAACTCCTACAATCAGCACACGGGCTAAGAGTGCTCTGCCTAGTTCACAGAGGAGGAAACCGACTCAGAGATGTTAAGGAGCATGCCCAAGGTCACACAGCTAGAGGGACAGTATGGACTGTGTGTAGTCTTCTCCAGCAAATGGCCGCTGTGTAGACCCACAATTCCTGGTCAGAAGTTTGTTACAGCCCCATTTACAAGGTAGAAAATTTGGAGATAGAATTGCAGGGTGTGAAGACGGGCTCCCTGAAAGGAACAAATGCCTTCCCACTTGCTTCGTGTTGTTGGGTGGTTGGCTAGTGCTCCTGGGGGCTGAACCCAGGGTCTTGTACAGGCTATGCATGAGCTCTGCCCCAGAGCTGTGACCCAGCTTGGGAAGGAGGGAGGGAGGGAGAGAGAGAAGGAGGGAGGGAGGGAAAGAGGGAGGGAGGGAAACTCTATCTTTTTATATTCATTGCAAAAGATGGACTGAGTAAATTTGTCCAGCCCAGATGACTACAGATAATTCTGGAAGACAAATCAATAAAAATAAAGACTGGGAGCAGCTTCCGAGGCTTTCCCAACGCCATCTATCCATGTGCACTGGCTGCTTCGGGGTATTGCAACCACTCACAGGGAAACTCAGCTCCCCAGGTGACAAAGGGCAATCAACTGCTGGCAGCTGGAGACCTATCCAGGAAGAGCAGCCAAGGGCCAGCAGCAGCGTGCCTTGCTATCACAGAGCTGTCTTGGGTCCATCTGGGAAGCAGGGCCTCCACGGCGCTCACTGATAAATGGAGCGATCACAAGATGAGTGAGCTCGGACCAGCTTTAGAGTGGAGGTGACTGTGCCTAGCTCTGTCTACAGCCCTGACTCACCTGAGTGCTGTCTTCAAGGGCAGCACAAGGAACTATCCAGCTGTTTCTGGAAGGAGCCCAGCAATGTGAGGGCTTAATGCTTATCTCCTTACTTCGCTGACTAACAAAGCAACAAGCACGAAAAAGCAAGGCTCTCAGGGGCAAGTGGCTGGAGAAGGGAGCTTGGCAAAGAAACACTAGAGCCATCCGAAGAGCTAGGGCTGCCTTCAAATACATTGTCTCTGTCACCATCCATGGACGCTTCCCTGCCAGCTATCCTCTTAGAGGTCTCTCTCTCTCTCTCTCTCTCTCTCTCTCTCTCTCTCTCTCTCTCTCTCTCCAAACACACACACACACACACACACACACACACACACACAGCACTCTATAACCATAGATATCTTTCCTTCTATGCTTAGGAGCCAGGGAATCTCAGAGTCAAACTCGGTGGTCATAGCCCCTCTCTTCAAGGAGCCAACAGCTTTGAACTTGTAGGATTCAACTTATCCCCACTTTATCTAATGTCTTTAAGATATTCATTCATAATATTTTCATAGAATAGAGTGAGTTTTATAAACTCCTTAAAAGATTGAGAACATGGAAGTGTTCGAAAAACTCTGGGCATCCACAGGCATCTAGGGAAGGGAGGGTCTTTGCAACGGAGGCGCAGGAAGCTCAAGCAGGGGGCTAAGAACGATGAGTCAGCAGTTTCTGCGTTTTGTGCTTCATGGCCTTTCCCGGCTTTTCCAGTAATAAAATCTTAAATTATTTAGGAGACACTAACCTGAGTCCATGAAGCTGTTAGCTTAGGTAGAGTGCATTGCTCCCCCAGCTCGAGGCCTGGGCAGGTGTACTCAATGTGTACCCACCCTGCACACTGCAATCCCTTACCCCAGCTGGAAACCACAGCACAGACATTAAGGGGCAAAGATAAGATCTCTCTGGACTTGAATAAGCTTCTCTGCAAGGAAGTCAACTCGGAGGATGGCAGAGCAAAGGCTCCTGGGAAACATTCTGAAACACAGACAACTGGACCCAGCCACTGAGCTGTCTCCTTCCCCTTGACTTTTCGGTTATAGATCCGCATGCTCCTTTTCTCAGGCTAGCTTGCTTTAGGGATGAAGAGAGAGGAAGAGATCTGGGAGGAGAGCGCTCTGGTTATCGTAGCCCGAGCTCAGGAATTGTCCATCCGTAGGTGGTAAAGTAGAAGAGAAAGAGGGACACTCTGTAGGAAAGGAAGTGAAGGCCTGTGAGCTCCCTGCTGCTCCAGGGTTGAGGTGGCACTTGAGAGTCCATCAATCTCCACCAGCCGCACAAAACTGGTAGAGTGATCCTGCTCTCCTCTGTCCTCTAGAGCCCCCATCAAAGCCACTGCAACCCTGACCAAACTGGGAATACAGAAAACGGATCCGGAAGTGGGAGCCACTTATCCTTGGCAATGGCTCTGGATTTGGGAAACACTGCCACGATGTGAGTGGATTTCTGAAGGGGATGTCTTCCAAAGAAGGAAGTGACATTAAGGGGCTGTAGCACAGTGGCATGCTAACACGGAAGGCAGGCTGCAGTTGCATTAGGCAGATTGATACACAGCTGCAGGAGACACCCATAGGGTCCAGCAGTGTTTGCATATTCCGATATCATACTTCCTTGTGACCTTACTGCCTTCTTCCGTAAGATGCTGGTGATAGTCGACATCACATGACAGAACGGAGGCCAACAAGTTAAAATATATAAACTGCTTTACTGGGAAACGCCCACAGGCTCACACACACACAGGCACGCACGTATACACCATAAATGGGAAGTACGGAAAGAGCTGGACAACAATTTAAAAGAAAACAAGACTAAACAAAATGACAGGCTCTAAAAATGCTAAAACATTCAAAATGCTTTGCATAAAATAATATCAGAGTGAAACTGGCCAACAGCTGTTCGCTCTGGAAGAAACTGAACCAGACTGGAGGTGGGGGAGGAAGGTTTAAGCTTTACTTTTGGCTCCAGAAAAGTCCCAGCTCTGTGCAAGCCAATTTCTTACATGAAGACTCTTTATTATATGTACAACATGTACTATATGTACCTTCTATTGGCTCTGCGTCTTTAATCAATTTTACATGTTTGTTGGACTGGAATGTGCACAGGCTGTCCAGATATTTATTCAAACATTATTCTTGGCTCGGGATATGGCTCAGCAGATGCCTGACATGTTCAAGGCCCTTAGTTTAGTTCCTGACACAGGAAAGAAAGAAAATGAGGGCAGTGGTGGTGCCCACCTTTAATCCCACACTCAGGAGGAAGAGGCAGGAGGATCCCTACGTTTGAGGTCGGCCTGGCCTACAGCAGAAGTTCCAGGACAAACAGAGGTACACAGAGAAACCCTGTTGGAGGAGGGGGAGATAAAATTATAAAGACTTTTTTGGGGGAGGGGAAAAATTCCTCTGGCCCAATTGCCTTTGAGCATAAAACACAACTCCTTCCTAAGCATAGAGACACCAGGCTTCAAAAGGACATCACGCCACCTTTTTTGCTAGTCCTGGGTTCTCTGACTAAACTAGAATGCAGCCCTCGGTCCTCCTGAGTGTCTGATGTGCCGGATCTCTCAGCCTAACTCTGTGGGTCAGTTCCTGATGGCAAATCACTTTCTATGCCCCTACACAACACTCATTTGGTTTTGTCTCTGCAGAACCCTAATATAGATGGCTGAGGTCATTTTTCTCTTCCACTGCACGTGTAGAAAGACTGCCCATGAGTCTCTACGTGAGAGCAGAACTTGATCGTGGAATGAATTTTGCAATCACTCTGCAGATCCAAAAGCCTCCCCAGGTCCATATGGCTGGGATGCAGAAGTGAAAAGAGAAAAATAAAAAATGGAAACCCAGACTTTAAAGAAACAATAATAGTTCAGGGTTCTCGAAGAAAACGTTGTATCTTCATAGGAATAAAGAAGCCATTTAATAGAGTCGCCAACAAGGACCAGTTTACAAAAACAAGCAAAGTAGTGCAAGTTAACGGGAGGAATGGTCATCTCTCTGTCATATATACACGCATATGTACACATGCATACAAACGAAACCAACAGAAAACAGCAGCAGCCATCCAACCAAACAAACCACCATGTACGTACATGTAAATATCACCTTGGAGAGACACAGGGCTCCGCGGGTCATGCTGACCTAACTTTATAAGCATCATCAACAATTCTGACCTCAGGAGATGAGGTAACTTAAATGGGAACTAATTACATTTGAACTATGTTCTAACAACTTACAGTGGAGGCAGAGCAACTGTAATTGGCCTCCGGGCAAGCTACCATTTTTATCATTAAGAACAAGCCCAGTCTGTCCCCATTAACATGCAAGCGCTTGCAACTCTGTTCCACTAGCAATGTTCCAGAAACTCGAGCTAGTGTGAGTGGGTACACACATGTGCAGGACTGCATGCCTGGTCAGCCAGGACCGGATCATGAAGCAAGAAGTCTCAGTGTCAGGACAGACAAGTGTCCAGGCCAAAGACATGGCCTC